TGGGTTTGTTTAGTCTTCGAATACATATGTGTGTCATGCACAGTTGCTGTGAAATTTTTGTTGACAACAATTAATCATTAGCTTATTGAGGTTATTTGAAACAGCACCTCAAAAGTGAATTTGTTACAGAATTTCATTTATTAGCTGACATCGGTAAGAGGACCACTGGACAACCTGAGGTTACTGGACAGGCATTTTGTCCTAGTTGTTGAGCCTTCATCAGTATGCAGCAACCACAGGGGTTGAAACCGAGAACCTTAGACCACTCAGCCACTGGAATCCAATCCAATGGCCAGTCCACGAGTTCCAACTTCTAACAATTCATTATATAGACAGACCACTAACCAACCTCATTCGTGGTGAGTATTTGTACTTTCTCTCAACCTGGTAGACCCCTGTATGCCTGTTTTCAACACAGAACTTTGCACCAAAGAGTGGCATTTCAAGTAACCACACTCCATGTAGCACACAAACCAAGAGAAGAAAGTAGGAGAAATGCAGATTAGAGACAGTAAACTGAGGTATGAGACCAAGGAACAGTAATAACAAAGAATACAACAGTTTCATAGGAAATCATAAGTCACAAGGAGTGGATGCATCTGCACCACTGAGAACGATTTTGAGCCATGTCACCAATTGTTTCCAGCTATTGATTTTTACCATCCCGAGGACCCCAACTAGTCAGGAAGTCTACATTTTCCGACGTGGCTTAGACAAACTGTAGCAGATTTCATTGACTGGTGCCATGTTTTGGTTCGACAGCCGCTAGCTCTTTTCCAGCCCGACCCTATATCAGCTAACATTGCCTGTCTACGAAGGCGATGACTAGGCATACGTAACACATGTCCTAACCATCTCAGTCGATGTAGTTTCACAGCCTCGTCGATTGATATTCTCTCCCTTCTTACCTAGCACTCGACCGATGCCTGACCTCAATATTGCCCACCCTGGTATACCACTTCACACGGAAGATAGAACGCAGGCACCTATGATCGAAGACAGCTAATCTTTTCATGTCTTCTGCTCTCAATGGCCAGGTGTCACAGCCATGGAGGAGGACGGAGCGGACTGATGAGCAGTACACACGCCCTTTGGTCGACAGGCGGATATCGCGTCTACGCCAGAGACGGCGTAAGCTGGTATATGCGAAACTAGTCCTCTGTATTCGTGCTGAGGTTTCGTCAGAGATCAACCCGTTGGGGCTGATGGTACTTCCCAAGTAAGTGAAGCGGTCGACGTGCTCTACCACTTCACTTCGGGGTGACCGACACCGGGGTAGACCCCGGTGGTCACGACTCCCTAGTAGATTCTAGGTAACCGCCTACCTTAATAGATCCAGACACTAGTGAGCATGAGATTATTATTCCAGTGATGGTTAACAGGGATTCGATTGGTTATAACCAAACTAACGCTTGAATCTTATTTGTCTTCTCCTTCTTCAACATTATCTATTTCATAAAAAATTATTTCATTTTATTCCTTTATGTTTCAAGTGGAACAAAGTGCTTCAAGCGTGAGTTGTGAAGACTCAGTCGCAGTGGGGTTTTTCATGGAGTGGGATTGTTAGCCTCAGGCCTAACCTTCTGTCTTTGCCAGTTTCCCTTGTACCAGTTTCGAGAGACTTAAGAATGTATCGGGCAGTAGTTGAAGCCTGTATCACGTGAATAGTTGACGAGCATTCTACCTCTGAACCACCAGCGCAAAAACCGCGGTGAGATCCGAAGACCATCTGGCTACAAGCGAAGCTCGTAGACTATTCAGCCAGTAGGACCATACAAAATAGTACTGCTTTCACACCAATATGAAATTAAGAAATTTAGAGAAAGGAGAATATTTACTGTTTGAATCTCTATACTATTGATAAGTTATTAGTAATATTAGTTGGTCTTCACGTGTAAACTAACAGAATTTAGCATATTTTGATACAGAATTATCAATAAATTGAAACGCAACGAGATTTATTTCATTTAAATGCATTTATATGGTTGTCTGCTTGAATTGCCCGACAAACTGAGTTTCTGTCTGGCATAATGTATCAATATTTTGACGTATAACATCAAATCAATCCTTGGTCAAAATTGGAATAAATTAAATCTTGACAGATAAACTGATGAAAGTTAGTAGCATGCTCCCTAGTTACTGGCCGCAGGACAACGTTTCCAGCAGTTCTGATGAGAAGTAATGACCAGCGGGGTCCACCCCATCGGGAGTGGAGTGGACAAATACTCGCCACCAGTGACGTTGCTTGGTGGACTCTATATCGTGAATTGGTAGAAGTCGGAATCGATTGGATGGCAATTGGATTGGGTTCTAGTATCTGGATGGTCTACAAGATCGCTTTTTAACCGCAGGGTCCTGCGTTCAAAACATGTTGGCGGGTGTGTACTTCCAACGAGTCCCATATTAGAAGGAACCAGCCGTAAAATACTCCATGGTCTCCCAGTGTTTCTCTAGCTGATGTCAATCTGTGATCAATCTTGAAATATATAAAATCCCTACGAAAGTCTAATACTACGATTTTCTGTTTCATAGAAGCTTGGATTTTCTCACCGTAAATAAAAGCACGAAAAAATATCACCTAGGGAATCGTTTAAAACCAAGAAGCACCAAATGGCTGTTTTGCCCGCATTCGGAGCTGTTCAGAACTATACACCAACAACCCTACTGGAGATCGACCCCAAGATCTCCAGGTTACCAGGCAAGTTCGTCGGTCATTCAGACGCTGAATTAAAATTCAGAGGATCGTATTTTAACAAATTTTCTGTTAGTAAGCTCTACCGCTTACCTGTACCACTGACTACCATCCACTTTAACATGACATGATGGAAAGTACACATAAGGACTTATTAAAAGTTGGTTCGATCGATGGTAGGGCGTATGGTTGTGCTCTGTGCAATAGTCCCACATCTTGATAAAACACCTGTTGATCACTCGCCAGTTTTCAATAGCCATCTAACTGATTTAAGCTCCTGACGATACCTCTAATTCAATTTCTAAGAGTGTTCATATCACAGAAGTATATTCTTGAGTCACACATATTTTTAATTAACCAACGTACGACTGTGTACTTCTTGAAGTAGTGAGGGACAGTATATCGTGAAGAACATTTGTGTATGTATATAAAAGTAAAACTGGATAAACAAAGATAGAAATAGTGATGAGAATTCAAAATTAATAAAAACCACATAATCTGAAACACCTCACTAATACAGTATCAAGAATATAAACCGTTGTTCAACACCAACATCTTTTTGGGGTTCGCGATCCGAATATTTCCAATAGAAGAAAACCCATTCAAAGAAAGATGCTTAACATCAACAAAAAAGGAATATGGATAGGTGATATACTGATTTCAGTGTTTACACCGAGAAGAAGGAGGTGTTGAAGATATCTAACTAACGAACAGCAACATCAACAACAACCAGCACCAATCACCACAACTGGCAAAGACTTAACAGAGATTACCTGCTTCACTTATCTGGAAAGCATCGTTTCAACCACGTATGCGCAGTACGGATGAAGATGTAAACAAGACTGCCAGCCCGAATCTGAAAGGCCAGATACGCCTTCATCAACCTGAAACCAGTTTGGAAGTCTTCTGCACTCACCATAAGGAATAAGATCCATATTTTCAACATCAATTTCAAGTTAGTCAGCCCTTCAATAGGGGTCAGAAAATCACACTGCGAGTGACAAAGAGGATTTCCAACAAGCAACTTCAGACTTTTATCAACTGCTACCCACTTCTCTTGTTCCATACTGAAGAACAAATGGCCAGCAGTCAGAAAGAATTACCACTAAGAAATTCTGGCTGGAAACAAACCAACCAAGTGGCAGTTGCTCAGCAAATATGTAGGAGAAAATGGAGATTCATTGATCAGGCATAGGTTATGGAGGCCTTCGAATGAGATCGCGCTCAATGCAAACCATCGGTCGAGTGAAATCTTAATGGAAAACGACGAGTGGGTCGTCCTAGGGTGACTTGGAGGAGATCGTGTGGTGGAGCGGGAGATGAGAGATTAGAAGCAATCGTGGATCTAGCTGAGGAGCATGGCAGAAAATAGAAGAAAGTGGAGATGTGTTGTTGATACCGTATGCTCCACTCGGAACCCAAGGGAATTAAAATAATATCATAATAATCAGTATCGTTTTAAGGTAGTCACAGACTGTTTTCAATGCATAGAAACACAATGAATTGTTCAGTGACCCTACCGTATATTTTAGTGAAGAATTTTCGTATATCAATAAAAGATACCTTTGGAATTAGTCTTGTATTGGAATATTTCCGGATTTTTCATATCTGACGCCTAATTTTATGTTTGTGCATTTGCTTCCTTGTTATAAGCAATTAACAACTATATTAGGCGTGGACATTGTAGATAACAACGCTAGAGATATCACAAAATATATCCATATAGATGAGGCCTGGTCTGCTTCCATTTTCAATGTCTAATGCTCCCAACATCTAATATGGTATCATTTTCAATTAAGTTTCTCCAGCACACTTGGATTTTCGCCTAATCTATTCTTCCACCTGGAGACTTGAGAGATATTGATTTTAATATCGAGTGTGACGAAATATTTCTTTTCACTTCCTCAGAATAAAACTCCTAAATGGCCTCAGGATTTCATCGTGAGCTGACATCAGTTAGAGAAGCATTGGAAAATCATCTAGGGAGTAATGGACAGCCGTTTCGTCCTAGTTTTAGGCTCCTCATCAGCAACTACACACCGAGTTTCGAATCCAGGACCTTCTGGTTACAAGGCGAGGTCCTGGGTTCGAACCCTAGTGGCTGCGTACTGCTGAATGGCCCTGAACTAGTACGAAACAGCTGTCCAGTACTTCCAGGTTTTCCAATGGTTCTGTAACTGATATCAGCCCATGATGAAATCCTCCGAGTAATCAATCAAAATCCCTACAAAACCAATTTTTGTAAACCCCTTAATTGTTTGTCATTCGTTTCTAATGCTGGTTTTTCACTTCTTTTCTTTTAAATCAGTGATGCCATTTAGTCATCTACAACCGTATCCCTTATCGCCTAACAATTTTGTTGGAAATCATCCTTTGAACACATCGAATTTAACAATGGAAAACTCAGGAATTCATCCTCAAAGTATTAATCATTCAGGTCCTATTGATTTCCCATCTGCTGCTGTATTACAGAATGGTAAGCGACTTCATTTTATATTACTTGTACATGGTGTATAAATAGTATTTCTGAATAATTATTATTACTGTTAGTCCCTTGGGTTCCGAGTGGAACATAGGGCTTCAATAACACGTCTCCCCTTTATTCTATTCTCCGCCGTCCTTTCCAGCTGGCTTGATGCACGATTACCTAAAAAGCCTCGTCCCCCCCCAACTCGCAGAATCTCCTCCATGTCACCCTAGCGCCGATGATCTGCTCCTCGCTTCCCATTCGGATTCCACTCGAGCGATGGTCTACATTGCGCTCGATGTCATTTGACGGCCTCCTCAGCATATAAGCGATCCACCTACTTTCTCTGCAACATATTTGTTGATCAATCGGCTCTCCCCTGTTGGTTTGTTCACAGAGAGAGTTTCTGTTTGTCACTTCTCTCTGCCTCGCCGACTGGCCATTCGATCTTCAGTATGGAGCCATAGGAGAAGTGAGCAACCATTGATAAAAGTCTGCAACATGCTGGAAATGCTTTTCGTGACACGCTGGCCAAGTTGCAAACTGACTACACATTTGTGTTGAAAATCCGAATATTGTTCTCTGTAATGAGTCAGTGCAGAAGATTTACAAACTGACATACGGTTCGTGAAGTTAGATCTTACCTTTCTGATTCCGGCTGGCTGTCTTTTACATCTTCATCCGTTCTTCCTGCCTATGGTTGAAACCGTGCTTTCTAGATTAGTGAAGCAGGTAACCTCTGTTAAATCTCCGCAGTTGACGGTGACTGGTAACAATTGTTCTTGCTACTACTGTTGGTTGGTTATCTTCATCACCTGCGTCTTCTCTGTTTCCACTTGGAATGCTGTCTACATTGGCTGCTTCTTCAGGCATTTTGTTTGCGTTCGCCTGCAAGCCTTTGAACAATATAGATCACCAATTAGGAAATACAAAAATCCCATGAATAATGAGTTTTGTAATCCAGTGGCCTGGTGGTTAACTCCATAGCGTTTTGAGAGATGGTTACTAGATTCGGATCTTAATGGGAAGGTTTGGGTATGAAGAAGTAGGTGTCTTGGATTGTACTACTGGGAGCAACTAAACACGTAAACTCGTGTTACTAATGTGATACGTAGGGAGATAAACGATGGATTATCTTTTGTTGGTGACATGGTGATCAAGGTCAGTCTGGAAATAAACCAATCAGAATTGGCCTGCATAAAATAACGCCCACTGTTTTATTGATCATGATTATAGACTAAATGACATATCCAAACGTAATTTTTTGAAACATACTTTTCAGCTCACGTCATTGTGTGTTCTTGCTTAAGTAGAGTGGACTGGGGTACAGGTAACTGTCACTGTATAGTTGCCGTGGGCATAGTCCAGCAGTGTTCGTGATCCCCACGTCTGTTTCAAACTTGGTGTCTATATTTCATTACCAGTGTGAGAAATATAAAATTGATGACATCGTGACATAATCCTAATTCTAACACACAGGTGCCTCTAGAAGACAAGTTGCAAATAACCATCAGTTAAGTAAGACTCAGTTTAGTTGACCTCTGAAAATATTCACCATATGCAAGCTGTTTAAACACGTCAAATTTCAGCCTTCCACTCACAAAATATCCGACTTCATTCATATAGATTACTTTAACACATTATAGTTTTGCAGACTACATATAGACATTTGAATATCAAGAATGTTTCAGATTCTTCTGTAAAAGTGATAAGGGCGCGCATAACTTCGTATCTCTGTTTCAATGGTGTTTCTCGAGAAAAAAAAATAAACAGAACCCTGTCAACACTGACAAGGTATGAAGGCTGTAGTTCACTGATGACCTGAAAAGGACAACTGTTCCCATGGATTAAACGAACAAACAAACTAACAAACTAAACAAGAAGAAATTTGTTATATAATCAATGAAATTAACAATAATATATAACATAAACGCTAAATTAGAAGTGTTTAACGCTATGGCTATGTGAAACTGGGCTACATTTGTCATATGTACATATATTTGACGATTTTAAATGAATTACGAAAGTAAAGTACTTAACAGGAAGGCAGAAAAAGTCAAAAGAGAAAAATCGATACAGCTGTCTATCAGTCTACTTTACGCCATCTTACTAAAACGTTTCTTTTTTTAATTGAATTTCTGCTTTCTAATTCTTTTGAACAACCAACCACTACTATATATATATATAATCTACTTTATTCCAAAAAAGTACTTATAATACCGAATGGAATTCTTAGCATTTCTCGCAATATTGCATCTGATTCACTCAAAATATAAATAAAATTCAAAATTCAAAACAAAATTAACCAGAGGAATTTGTCCACGTTTACGACATAAGGTCAAAAATATTCGAAGCACAAATTGAGAATAATAAATATAGTAATAATAATAATAATAATAATAATAACAGTGAGTTTGTTTCAAACAGCATGTTCTAGAGTATTGAATCTAATGTTCTGCTGATATAGTACGGTGAGGGGAAATGCAAAATTAACAGTCATAACACAGCTTAAATGATGTTCACACTTATGAAAAAATAAACAAATAAAAACAAAAAAAATTGAGAGGATTATAAATATAAGAAGTACAATAACAATAAAGTCTGATGTTGTAAGGATGGAGAAAATCGTTTATTTACTAGTGCAAAGAAGGTTAGTTAGTTATTTCGTTCCTCACACTATATTCATCACATAAAGTACGTGTCGCCAAATATGGTATAGTGGAATTTTTATATTTTAAACTATGTGCATAAAGTCTTCTGAAAAGACACCTTGTTTTACCTGAGGAGGAGACACAAGGTTGGAGCTGCGGGTGATGTGGTGGATGCTCACAGTCCGACAAAGTTTCTTTAGCAAATTTTTCGCATGACATCAATTGCCTATCAATGACGATATGGCCCAATGGGACACCCCATTGACAGCCAGTCTTCAGAATTCTAGGACGTATGACACAGTCTTTTTTAAGCAATCCAGGGAAGAATAAAGGTGAACAGTAAAGAAGAATAGGTAAAATACACGAGTTTATAAACTGTAAGAGGAGTGGTTGAGTTATGCCTGAGTGCCTTAACTTCTTAATGTAAAACGTCAGACGAAATATTCTTTTTGAAATAATAGAGAAGATTTGTAGCTCAGGTGGATGATTTGCAATTAAAAGTGTTCTCTGAGCTGGTTGGTTTAGTCTCGAAGCTTTCGTCGTCCTTCCGGACAACATCTTCAGCGCCATATTTAGCACAAAGTGAAATGATTTAAATTTCTTCATGCGTGATATAATTGCGTCCATCTTCCGGTAACTATCTTCACATATGTATTGACAACTTTCTAATCCTAGTCAATAGAAAGTGGTCAATACATATGTGAAGATAGTAACCAGGAGACGCAATTACATCACGCATGAAGAAATTTAAATCATTTCACTTTGTGCTAAATATGGCGCTGAAGATGTTGTCCGGAAGGACGACGAAAGCTTCGCGACTAAACCAACCAGCTCAGAGAACACTTTTAATTGCGAAATATTCTTTTAGAAATCGCTAAGACATGGGATTATCAGGATGTGTCAGAAGAAAGAATTAACTCAAGATACTTAACTTCAGACTTGATTTCTACATCACTGTCACCAATTTTACCAGGGTCAGGAACCAACAGTTTCATTTTAGTTTCTTTTACATCAGAAACTGAAATTAACAGTCTGACATTTGGAAGGATTTAGTTTAAGACCATTAGACGAAGACCATTTGCTTACTCCTGACAGAAATCTGTTCATCTTAGTACAGTCTAGCTGGGAGTTAACAGACATTGAAATAGTTAGGTCGTCCGCAAACTTAACAAAGTTCATTTCATCGGAGTGAGGCAAGTCATGCAAGAAGAAAGAAAACAGAAAAGGAGAAAGGACAGCGTCTTCAGGGACACCAGCCTCAGTAAGCAACGAAATGGACGACTTTCCCTGACATACAGTATACTGCTTTCTTCCTGAGAAATAAGAACACAGCCACTTGACAACCCAACAGTCAGTTTGAGTTTCAGCAAGCTTGTTTAACAAAATGTCCACAGGTACTGAGTCGAAAGCAGATGTGTAATCAAGCAAGGTGCAGCGAACAAATTTATCCCCCTTATCTAAGCTGGAGAGAATGTTATGATACAAGACTGTAGCTGCATCTAAAGTACTTCTACTGTAATCGTAGGCGAATTGTTTGGGATCTTTAAAGGCTTTAAGGGAAGGTTGAAGATTAATTAAGGGTAACTTTTACAATTCATGATACTTAGACCGATGAATTCTGACTTACAAAACTAGATGGATATGAAATCAACTTATCGCTTGAGTAGACTTCAATATTTTTTCAATTGTTAGATTAATTCACAAACGAACGTCAGTTACAGAGATCTTTGAAAACTGGGGAACAATAGACATTGGTTTTGTCCTAGTTTGGGACTCTTTAGCATTGCAGATGCATGACTACACCATATAATGAGTCTACAATTTTCAGATTACGAAATTTAGCTTGTTGACCATTTAGTCATGTGGTGAGGAACTCAAGCATCCCTAAATTCTAATTTCTGTAAATTCATGATACAGAGCTACCCTCAGTTGACAGTGTCTTCCGTGAGCATTTACTTCATCTCGACTTGGTGGACTCCCATTAGTCACGATTTCGCACTGAAGCTTTAGGACATCTATCCAACATATTGGTGGACTGCTTAAATGTGAGCTACTAAAAAATTCCATCAATATCTCACAGGTATTTTCCCACGTTCAGTTTGTTTAAATCCGATAAAATGTGACTTTCAATTAGGTGTTATACTCTGGCGAGTATTTAATGTGCTTACAACTTACTGATTCACACGTTTCTAGTTATCGTGAGAAAAACGTCTAATCGTGGGCTGGGAAGTATCGCAATGCAAGGGATAGCTAGCTGTTCTTGGGTTGTGTCCTTAGTTCACAGAATGGATTCCTGAAACTTTTCTAATTGCCATTCAACCAAATTACATGCATTTAGTGGCATGCGCTGCATGTTAGGCAGAAGTGCTTCACATGGTCTACTGTCATTATTACAATTTCATGCATTTATTCCCCTTGATGAATTTAAATAAAGCTTTATTTAAATTATTACAATTATTGTTCCCTTGAGTTCCAAGTGGAACATAGGGCTCCAACTACACCTCTCTACTTGCTTCTGTCTTCAGCTGCACTTTTCACCTGCATCTATGTTAGTCCATACTGTTTCAGCTCCTCTTCACACGATCTCCTCCATGTCACCCTTGCATGTCCCACTCACAGCTTCACTTTAAGGTTCCACTCGAGGGCCTGACGCGTGATGTCACCCAGCGGCCTCCTCAGCCAGTGAGTGTCCAATCCATCTCCACTTTCTCCTGCATATTTGTTGGGCGATTGGTTCCTGTTTTGTTTGTTCCCATAGCTTCTTGTTGGTGATTCTTTCTGGCCATCTGATCTTCAGTATAGAACGAAGACAGTGGTTGATAAGGGTCTGCAACCTGTTGGAAGTATTCTTTGTGACCGGCCACGTTTCTGATACGTATAGAAGAACTGACTTGAAGTTTGTATTGAAAATCCAAATTTTGTTGTTGATGTTGAGTTGAGTGACGAAGATTTCCAGATTGGTTTCAGGTTGATGAATGTTTTTCTCGCCTTCGTGATTCTCGATTTGACATCCTCGTCCGTTCCACCTGCCTGTAGTTGAGACAAGGCTCCCTAGATAAGTGAGTGAAAGAAGTAACCTCTTTCAAATCCCTCTCGTTGATGGTGATTGGCGCCGGATGTTGCTGTTGTTGTTGTTGTTGGTTGGTTATTTTCATAACCTCCGTCTTGTCTATGTCAAGTGATATTTTGTTTGAAGATCCTGGATGAAGAGAAGATTCCATGTAATTGACTATGCTGAAAATTTTGAACAGTATATAATCGCTGTACAAAATGATGCTATTATTATCAATGAGCTGGAAATCGATGTTATGAGTATGAGATTTATCAGGATTTGAATTCATTTTAACTGTTAGACTGCTTCACAAACTAATATCAATGATCTATCTAACTGATGTTCATCAGTGACGATAGTTTAACAATGAAATCTAATCTGAACGCCTCCAAACCTCGTAACACAGATTATACTATTTTATTCCTACAAGACGTATCTCAGAAAATAATAACAAAGAACGTTGTAGCCTACTTAATTCGACTTGTACTTTCCTGTTGATTGATTGGACCGGTGATATATTGGCACTTTGCTCAGATGCTTGGACGATCAATCAATTAAGACGAAAGTTCAGAATGAATTAAATAATAACTGGAACTTATTTCACAACGATGGGTACATCACAGGAGCCACAGTGGAAACACCATTACTGACTCACTGCGGATCGCAGGTACACTCAGTGACGAAGCCGAAATAGGACGAAATTTGCGTTGTTCCGGATTTTACTGGTAGTCACCAACCACTAAATTAGTTCAGGGAAATAATCCACTAGTCTTAGACCTTCAGGCTTCATTCACAATTATTATAACTGAAGCATTGCTGAAAAGTTTCTGTTTCCATGGAAATAACTGACGCATGTGGTGATTGCCAAGGAGAAGTTTTCAAAAGGTTTCCACAATGCCATTATGGTGCGTCACACTCAGCCAAGATAGAGAGTTTAGGTGGGTGGGATGAAGGAGATTATGGAGTAAAATTATAAGGTAGGTGAGATAATTTAGTAGATTTGTAAAATTAATACTGGGTTCAGCTCAGTAAGCGAAGGTCGAATAGTTACGCAACAGAACAAAGCACACAAAAGCACATGGAAAACACGCCTACGGTTACTGGGGTGATGTCAGAGATTGGTCACATTCTCCTTCTATGAACCGAAGTAATCATGATTTTCTTTGTGTGTTGAATATTTCGAAAGCCTGACGAATTTCCACGGCGTGTTCAATGTCAATTAGGTGAATGGCAATTACTGCACTTGAGAACACTTTACTGCCTTCCGGATGGAGAATTCTAAGGATATGCTGTTGTGTTGCATAACATTCCCCTTAATTCTGAATTTCACTTACTCAGTTGAACTCGCTATTAGGTTCCTAAATCTATTAAGTTGTTTTGTCTATCCTATAGTTTTACGTTACTATTCACCGACACTCTCCTGGACTCTATATTATAATATGTATAAAATCACACTGTGTTGCTCTGTCCTGTATTTTGTCTCTAGTCCATCCCCATTTCCAAGGGAAATCTGAACACTACTCCCCCTTGTCCAATTATTATCTAGATAGTTACTCCTTTAATACTAAATAATTGTCTACTTACATAACCTTTGAAATTATGTTGCCTGTACTCGCTGTCTGTAACTTGAAGTCATTGAAAAAATTACCTTCAGATGCTATTTAGTAATTTATAGTTTGATATTACTTATGATGTAGGCAGTTTAAGCGAATCCAGGAAATAAAACGAACTCTTAGTATCCTGCAAATATGTTTGTTCTTTAACTGGTGGATGGTGAGTTGCAGTGGAATCCAGGATAACGTGCATTTCGTCCTATTTGGGACTCGTCACTGGATGTACCTGCATTTCCCAGTGAGTGATGATGTTCCCACCGAGGCTCAAACCCAATGCCCTTAGTTTCCAACGCCAAATTAATATGACCCGTTGCACAAGAGGTGGCTCTCGTTGCCCAGGTGGCCCAGTGCATAGCGCTTTGGTGTTTGAGACAAAGGGCACTGGGTTTGAGCCTACGTAGGAACATCATCACTCACTGGGAAATGCAGGTACATCCAGATGACGAGTCCCAAATAGGACGAAACACGCATTGTCGTGGATTCCACTGTTATTCACCATCTACCAATTAACTTCTAATTTCGTGCTCAGACATCGTCGAAGCATCTGCACAAGAAGGCGATATGTCAACCTGAGACCGATCACTTAGGTCCAATCAATCGACGGGAAAATCTCAAATTCAATTAAATGTTTGTTCCTTCTTTATTCAAATTAATAAAAGTAACAGATAGTATGAAAGTTGATCAATCATTGCGATGTTCTTTGAACAGGTATTAGGTGGTTGTTGACGATTGTCAGGTGCATTTACTGAACTCCTTAGATTGACAAGTTAATTATTCCTATTTGTATTAGTGCTGATTCACTTGATGAGTGTCGTTATTTTTTTTCTGTATTTCAACTTATAGGTCATTCCACACCAGTGATCAGATTTCCACAAATCGGTATACAATCCGATGTCAACCTCCAACCCACTTGTCCACTGGGCTTTGCCTATAATCCGTCAACAGGTTATTTAAATTCTACAGGTTCAATAACCCCAACCGGTAATTATCTAACATCTACTATTCCGAATGTATTAAATCTTGCCCAACCTGGAGCAATTCAAACGTTGATACCTAATTTAACCTACAATATCTTGACTACACTTCATGATCAACAAAGCCAACAGACAAGATTGCATCAAGCTCAACAGGCAGTTGGTCAACAGTCGACACCACAACAACAACAAAGTCAAACAATACCATCAATCCCGTTGGATGTAGAAACTTTGAAACAACAAATTCAACTGCAAAATTGGCCTAGTACTGCACCTTATTCCTTATTAACTTTGAACCAAAAGGTAATTAGTACTTGATAAGGCGATTGTGAAACCTTCTTTGACACAGATGAAGTTATTTTTCTGCACATTAATTTATCTTTTTGATAATATAACCGGAATGAGGGTAAGACTATAAACATTTTCACGTCAAACTGTAATACAGAAAGGAAAACTTTCGTCAACTAAGGTTTATATCGCAAGAATAGAACCTGAGCACTGTGATAGACTATAATTCCCTTGGAGAATAAATTTATCCATCCTAATGAACAGTGATTCCAAATTAGTATGTTCATAGATGCATCTATCACACAGTGAAACAGTATTATTTACTGGATGACATGCATGTCAAACAAACGCAAGATAAGGACAACACCAGCAATAGAGAATCTAAATCATCAGTAGTAATTCCATACGAAGACGGAACCTCAGAAACCTTAAGGAGAATATTTAACAGGACAGGAATAGAAGTGGCTGGCACTCAAACCCACAAACTCAATTAGTAACAAGCTTTGTCCGTTCAAAGATCAGTCCTGTGGAGCTCATTGAAAAAAATAATTCAGTTTTGCTAATACCCTGCCTGCAATGACTGTCAGATTAAATGCATAGGTCAAACTAGTAGAACAGGTGCAGTCAGACTAGCCGATCACAAAACTAGATTAGTTGACCAGAATAAGATAAGAAATCTATAGAATAGTTCAGCTATAGCACTACACCACATGCAATTACACACAACCGTACAATAAGATGGATGGGATAAGATGACAGTTTTAAAATCTCATGTAGCAGCAGGGTGGAGAGAGGTTGATAACAGAAGCTTTGTTTATCAAATCAACTGCAAATACATGTTATAGGAATGATTCATCACCTATCCCCGATATCTGGAAAATTCTACTACCCGTACGACAACAAATTGGGGAGAACAAAGAAAACTATAAAACTCAAGTTTCGAAGTCGTGTGATTATAATTGATGACACGATTATGAACAATAAATTTTGTTCAAAACTTCGTCATCCAGTAAATAATAATACCGTTTCACTCACTGCGTGATACATCTAATAAACAAACTAATGTGGAATTACTTCCCAAGTTTTGCACATATACTAATGAACAGTGCCGAAAAAATTATACCTTTATAGTTTGTACCTACAGAGTTCAAGTTTAAGCAGAAACCAGTTTATACATACAATGGTAGAGGAGTTGCGTAATAAAAATAAGGGATGAATAAGACTGTAACGGTTGAAGACAAAAGACTTGGTAACGGAGTGTTTATTTGGAATTGGATATCTCTATATAGGGGAATCATGTAAACCCTAAGTCAAAATCGTCATTTGCACAGATTTTCTGTGTTGTGCTACTTTCCTCCCCGCAACAGTTTTTATCTGCTGTTTTTGACGTCAAATGTATCCCTTCTCTATTTGATGCGTGTTCCGATGGATGTCTCTTAATCCACTTGAATACTTTTCTTTTCGTTAATGTCAAAGTATGGTGCACAGTCACTGTATATCCATCAGGTAAATAGGCACATCCTAATTCGTAGTCATAAAACAGACATCAGTAGCTTGGCTGAAGTATTCCTCATGACTGATTTTCTTCCAAGAGCTGATTTCCGTGACGTTACAGATATGATCATATTTTGACTAATAGCATAAGCAAAATGTTGTCATAGTATTTGCTGGAAGATTTCATTCCTGGAAAACACTTTGATTATTATATGTACATTTTGAGATATTGATTTGTCAGCGTTTATTACTATTATCCATTCCTTGTGTCCCGACGGGTTTTCAACCACCGCTGAAAATGAATGGCTCTGGAACTTTGCAGCTGCACCGTATCATCGCCGCAAGCTGAACCTAAGCAGGCTGATGATAGGTTTACTTGGTCCAAGCGGAAAGTATTTGAATGGTCACTGTGGCTTGTTGAAAGCTGCGGGCGTAAGCCTAGGTAAAGCAACCACAGTAACAAATATTCAAAGGAGGGATCATAAAGGCAAAAATGGTTAAATGGCTTCCCTGTAACAACAGTTGCCTTGGATTAGGAGGCCCTAATTAATCCAGTATGTCAGAACTTGATTGGACTGCTTAAAATCGTCCGCATGCGGGCTTGTTTAATACTGCCACCAAGTCGTACCTCTGCGAAGCAGCCTTCTGTGACGTGAAAGGAATTAAGTTAATATTCTCGATCCTGTACATGGAGACTGGTGCTATTGAACTTCAGCAATAAACCTACATTACTTTCATTTTTCTGCTAGCACTTCCAGTTGGCTCCATAAGCGCCCATGATCTTCTGAATGTCAAACACAAGCGCCTTCTCTTCCGGTTTGGTTTCCATTCGACAGAAATCTTGGTGTAGAATAATACTTCGATGTCTCCTCAGTGTATATCCAATCCACCTCCATCTCATTGAATAACAGTTTCTCGACTAACAGTAATTCCATACAACCACATATCACTTTTGGAATTTAAATATCTGATTCGCTAATATATATAAATTGAAAAATGTTTTTCAAAACCACTTAAGATAAACTCCAGTTTGATCCACTTTATTCATTAAAGACGATATATATTTTAAAAATTCAGATGTCCACCTATTTTTAGAACCAGTCATCATGCATCTGTACGACGCCTAAAGTTTATATATGTGAATGCGCTAACTAGTTTTTTTTATTTTTCTAACTGTACTATTACACAACATATGAATTCTACCAAATATTTAACACTGTTATAGTATTTTCTTTCTCTGTAAACAAAAAAAAACACATAAATTTCAGGCTTTTGGTCAAATCCACTCACCCACTAGCAACTTACTTACTTTCAATCAAAATCAACAAAAACTTCCCAGTGTACAATCGACTGATACACCGACTATTGGTCTGACGGATGCATCACCGACAATGTGGCTGTTACCTGCAAAAATTCCACGGTAGGTAAATAAACACGATTCAATTAATAAAATTGCCTTTATTTTTATTCGTAGAAAGTGTCTACTATTTGTTGTCCTAAAATATTATTCATATGGAAAGATAATTTTGGTATTTTAAATGTTCTCCTCTCAATTGGTTCAACTATGGAAGTCTCATTGTCTTCCTGGACAGCATGTTCAGAGCTGACTTTAATTTAAAGTGAGCTATTAGGAATTCTTTCCCTGTGGTTAAAACAACCTAAGATGCAGGGAACAAGAGGAATGCTAGAGATATCTTAAGAGCAATTAACAGATGTGAGTATACTGATCATATTTAACGATCAATAAAAACCAATAGAAACACCATCAGATGGTTAAATTTCTGGTCAACGAAATGATCTCAATCATTGAAAAGAAATACAATCCAATTACGTACAGTTTAGGTCACTAGAAAAGGTGGATATTTCATCCAAGTATTGGTTAGCAGGGATATGATTGACTACCGAACTTCATCATGAGAAAACCCGTTAGGAAACCTGGGAGAATTGGACAATCAGTTGTTTCCCCCTGGTTTGGGACTTTTCAGCAGTGTGCGCCGACCACCAGGGATCGAACAAAGGTGCTTCTAGCAACAAGGAGAGCTTGTAGAACATCAGACCACTAAGTCTCAGTCGAATCGCCAGTGAGCTCCAAATTCTGTTAATTCACGATTTAGCGCCATCACTAGCCAATCTCAAAGAAACAACCTCTTTTATCTACCTGGGAAGCATAGTTTCAACTACAGGCCGGCGGGACTGACGAGGATATCAAAACAAGAATCAGAAAAGCAAGACAAGCTTTCACTACTCTCAAGTCTGTGTGGAGGTCAACAGCACTCAGCATCAAAAATAAGATCCGGATTTTCAACTCCAATGTGAAGTCAGTCAGTGCTACTCACTATACGGATCAGAGACTTGGCGTGTCATAAGGACCATCTCAAACAAACTACAGACCTTCATTAACAGATGTCTTCGCTCAATACCACTCAAGATCAGATGGCCAGAAAAGATCAGCAACAGAGATCTCTGGCAATGAGCGAACCAACTCAGCAGGAACCGATTGTGAAACAAATAGGCTGGAAGAAATGGAGATGGATTGGCCATACTCTGAGGAAACCATCAAGTGACATCACTAGACAAGCCATTGCGCGAGTGGAACCCGAAAGGGAAGCGGCGAGTTGGTGATCGTCCAAGAGTGACTTGGAGGAGGTCATATGAAGAGGAGATGAGAACTTGTGGGCAGACTTGGAGCCAGGTGAAGACTCTATCAGAGAACCGAACGCAATGGAGACGCGCGGCTGAAACCCTATGTTCCTCTAGGAATTAAAGGAAACAATAATAGTAATAATACTAGCTAATCTCATAGGTAGTGGGTACTTGCCCCACACCGCAATGGTTCCGACTTTTCACTAGAACCCAGGTAAATACCTACATGAATAGGGCCAGTATCTAATGAGTTTGCCCCCGGCAGGTGCGTTTTGCCGAACAGTCCCAAACTTGGATGAAATCTTCTGAAAGTTCACTTGCACCTCAGACAGCAATATCAACAGGTCTAAAATCAACCAGCAATGCTATAAAGCTTCTTCTTCATTATTTCCCAATACTTAAATTTGCATTTTTCATAACATTTCTCCAGTTCTTCTAGTTCTAATGCATATGATTCGACTACCCAATTAATCAGGTAGGTACAATTAGTACAATTTGGAGAGCAAAGGTGTAATGTAGTCACATATCATAGATTCATTTTAGAAACAATACAGTCTAGAATTGTATTCCTGTTATATTATTATTGTTATTATTATGCCCACATTACTTACATTGATGTCTATTTAGTCTATTTTCTTTTTGTCTCTGTATTCAATTCAATGTACTAGTACTAGTTCTGTGGTGCATTTTGTGAAAAAGGAAACAAAAAACGGTTACTGAGATTGTGTGTTAATTTTTTTGTCTTACCTGAAGTAAACTTGTTTCTTTTGCTACCCTTTCTCTCTTCCTTTCTCTGTTGATTTGCAATCACACAAATTGTAGTTGTGGTAGTAGTCGTAGTATGCCATAATTGACTATAGAAGAAAACTTGTTTCAATTGTTCAATGTTCAATTATACATTTTGTTTTATTATTCAAGGTGAAAGCGGTTTGTTTGAAGGATTGTACATATTTATATATGTGTCTTTTGTGTGTGTGTTCCAAATGTGTACACATATGTAATGAATGTTAGGAGCATGTTATATCTGCATATATATACATATATATGCACTTTACTATTATTATTCCTATTCCCTTGGACTCCGAGTGAGAAATAGGAACTCAACAGCATATCTCTAATTCATCTTGTAGTTTGCAGTTTTTCCAGATGGTTCAATGACTGCCCATAACCTTTCCTTTCCTTCTTACAATCTGGGTCACTCTTGGAGGCGCGCCTGACTCGTCATTTCCCTTTCTGGTTCGACTCAATAACCTGACGCGTGATAACCTTCACCAGTCCCCTAAGTGTATGTATAATCCGTCTGCGACTTCTTCGGCGTATTTGTTGAGTGATATTTGATTGGTTACTTGGTTAGCTTTCCGCTGCTAATCCTTACTGACCGGCCAGTTGATCTTCAGTATCGAGCGAACTTATCTGTTGATAAAAGTCTCCAGTAGCCTGTTGAAAATGCTTTCAGCAATACGTAAATCAAATATGTGAACCATACGAAATAATGGTTCTGACATTGGTGTTGAAAATCTGAATCTTCCGCTTTGTTCCGAGTGTAGCTGATTTCAAAACCAGTTTCAGAATGATAAAGGTTTGTCTCACCTTTCCTATCCCTGCTGATTTCGACCTCCTCATCTGTTCCGCTTGTAGTTGAAACTATACTGCCTGAATTAGTGAAAGAACTCTGGGCTTGACTGTTGCTTTTTGTTGTTGGTTAACTGTCTTCATCACCTCCATCCTCTGTATCTTCACTTGAATACCTGTCCTCGCTACTTCCCACTTCTGCTCACCTGTTTGGTTTTCTTTCAGTCTGTGTGATATTCAACATAAATTCACCAAGAAGTTTGAATCCTCTACAGCCTTTATTATCTCTCCAGAGTATGCCTGTCTTCTCGTTCGACACCACAATCATGAATATCATAAGTGGCAATAGCAGCAATAAATGCCGCCAAAGTGGTTCTAGTGCAAGGTATTGCAACTTACCTTCCTTTGCATGTTCCTCCACTGTTTCCTCTCACAAAAAATCTCCCTCAGTTTTTAAAGTCTTCAAGGCTATTCCTATTTAGGTAGAAGTTAATTTTTTTTGTTCGTCTGTTAGATACTCGTTTGTTTGTCTAATTATGAAGTTGTCAGGTTGCTTGTTATCATCAGCATGCAAGTCAGGTCTTAATATTTCTTCGTAAACATTGACTATTTTCTGCTGAATCCTTTTGTGAGTGTTAAGTTGCAGAGACTTTATTGATTTCAGCTTTGTTAACGAACTAAAATCAGCTGTAGAACCAATAAAAACGGGGAAGTATCGGACAGCTGTTTCGTTTGAGTTTGAGACTCTTCAGAGGGAATCGCAAACCAAACCTTTAACTTACAAAATGAGTCCGCTGATCATTCAGCCACTGGAATATGAGCATCCCCATACTTGAAGATCCTGGTTTCTATGCCTCTAGCGACCAAAGACTTTTGCCATTGCGGAGCGCTACATTAGGACGAAACAGTAATCAAAAGCTTTCTGATTTCCAGTGGATCTGCAATTGCTATTAATCTATACCCAAACCTAGGTCACTTTTCTCCATGTAATTCACAAGTACAATGAGGAAATAGTTCATACACTTGTTTATCACAGCTTGCCTAGTGTATTCGAAAAGGAGATTATAAAATTTTATTGATTTTTCCCTTGTTGCTGATGACAACCAGAGGAATCGAGAAATTTATATTCTTGCAAGTTTACTCAGCTGACAACTCTCAGAGAAGGTGAAGTGGACGCCCTGGTGTCTACTGCTTTCAACCACTTACCAATTAACATTATGTGCATCTCAAGGCATGGTCGAAAGTTTCGTTTTAAGAGGCAATATGACAACAGAGACTAGTAGCCAAGCTTTTTGATCAAGTGAAGGTATCAACCAATGGGAATTTTTAGTTGTTTGAATCTAGCTGACTTCATGCTACAAAATTTTTTCATATATGGTCGCTATAGTATTTATGAGTTTTATTTACCTGTTATTTATGAAATGGGGGTCAAACTGAGAACCACGATACTGGTATCACTCCGTTTCAATATTCTCCCAACCCGAACATTCCGATAGGTCTGTATTCAAATAAGTGATCGTATTTCCATTAGAGGGAAGACGTAGCACTCATCAATACATACAAACATATAAGAATAAGGCTCCGTAATGATGTCTGTTTTCCTTAGTGACGTATTTATAAAACAGATTTTTCCATGACACGGATTAATCGTAGTGTGTTCTTTGAACTGGATCGTTCTAAATCGCATGGCTTTTATTGTCCTTCCAAATGACGTCCTCAGTGCCAACTTAAAAATGAATCGAACACTTGATGTTATTATGTAAAAGTTAAATTCTCCTTAGGTTATTTATTTGTTATTTTACAACACTTTCGACTTGTCGAAATGCGAATTGGTGGAAATTAGAATTCATGGTCCAACAGATATCTTACCAGTAGCTCGTAAACCGAAAGTCTTGAGTTTGATCCTCAATGATGTGATGAATGCTTACTGTGGAGAAGTTCCAAACCATTAGGAAACAGCTGTTCGATAGGTAGCTAGAAATCAGTGAATTTCCTGCAAACCGTCAACACTTGAAGTCTGCTTGTAGTTATTAGTTTACAACCTGAGTTGAATCCACTAGAATTTCACCGGAACACACTTGCAGTCAAAACGTTACTTCTTCTGCTTATTTCGTCTTTCTTCATACCGTTGCATTCAGAGCAGGGCATAGAGCTTCAAGATTGAGCTAAGAAGCTTCATTAACTCTATTATCGCCAGCCTCATGCCCAACCTTCCATTTTTACCAAGTATACGAATAGCTTAGTTAGGTTTCTGGGTGCATTGATTGTAAACAGAGCCCTGACCAGGTGCAATGAACCCCGAAGGTGCATCTATTCATTTTACAATTTAAATTGATTTAAAATTTGATCACGCATTGATATCAGTTAGATCAGGCTCAAAACAAATCAAATCCCTCCTAACCACCTCTTGGAAATTGATCTGATATTTGCCAGTGATAGGCTGCAGGGTGAAGTTGCGCAGAGTTCTAGTGAGATGTTGTTACCAGTGGGATCCATCCAGTTGAGCGTGGGGACAAAACTTGCCATAGTAGTACAGAATCACTGACCAGTGAGTCAGGTCCTAATGACAGAATAGTCTGAGTGCCTGTCATGTAACCGGAAGATACTGGGTTCGAAATCCGATGGGTGAGCAATTCTGATGACTATCGAACGAGGACGAAATAGTTGTTCGGTACTCCCTGGTTCATATCTGTATATATATGTTTTGATTGGACGTTAGTCCTTCGTTTGCTGTAGACTGAATTCTATCAGTCAAGTTTATAATGTAGTTAGCACGCTAGGTTACTCGCCATCACTGTGCACTGTGAATTGGTGGTATTAGATGGTCGCTGACTAGTATCCAATAAAAAAATATATATCTAATACAGTCCCACAGGAGGTCATTGACGAGCCCGAATAGCTAACTGAGTGGTAACGTCTCTGACTGCAGCACTGGGCGACGCCGGTTCGAATCACAGAAGGCAGATGAGTTCCTCCTAGGTTCCAGGTACACCTTGCTGACGAGTGCCAACTGGCACGAAACCTAGGTGCAGCTAGGGTTTCCTGTAGCTCATTGCCTCAAACCGTCTAGTACTCCCTGGCTTCCAGTGGTTGTCAACTCCATGGATCGAGAGGTTCTATGGCAGTGTTTGACTATGAAGGAAGTGCCAAGAAAGTACATTGCACTAATCAAGGTACTCTACTCAAATTCACGTAGCTGTGTAAGGGCTTATGGGGAATTGTCATGTGAATTGATAACAACCAGTGGTGTCCGTCAAGGATGTCCACTTTCCCCTTTTCTGTTTAACTTCATCATAGATATGCTAATGGAAGTATCCTTAACTGAAATCAACGACTTAGGAATCGACTTGTTACCAGGGAATAGTCTTATGGACTTAGAATATGCAGACGACATAGTCCAGTTAGGGGAGGATGCTGACAAAATGCGGAGTCTTCTGAACACCTTGAGCAGCAATCTTCGTATGTTTTGCATGCGATTCGCACCTGTGAAATGTAAGATGCTGCTACAGGACTGGACTACGTCAACTCCAAGCTTAGTGATAGGGAGTGAAGTGATAGAACATGTTGACCACTTCACCTATTTGGAAAAATGTATCAGCACCAACGGATTGATTGGTGACGAAATCTCAGCACGGATCCAGAAAGCTCGGGCTGCTTTCGCTAACTTACGCCGTCTCTGGCGTAGTCGTGACATTCGGCTATCAAACAAGGGACGTGTATACTGCTCAGCAGTTCGCTCCGTCCTTCTGTATGGCGGTGAGACGTGGCCATTGAGAGCGGAAGACATGAAGAGATTGTCTGATTTTGACCACAGATGTTTACGATCTCTTTCTCGCGTTAGGTGGTATAATAAGGTAAGTAATGTTGACGTTAGGCGTAGAGTGTTGGGTAAAGAGGCAAAAT